TAGTATTGGAAACACCCCTAAGTCACATTTCGAGCAGATTCTATCATTTTAATCTTCGAACTCACATTTTTTCGATTTTTGATTGGTAATAACTTTGACCTAAGAATATTCGTTTTTAGTGCCGTTTGTTTTAATATCTAGATTTAAGTTCAACTCAATAATTTTCTTTTCTTATTTTGCAAGGAATTATTCTAATTGATTATCTCCTAATTGTATTAGGATCCCTCTTGGTTATAAATAAGGATGCAAACCGTCAGGGAAAAATAATTTCCTAATTGTATTACTGTTCAGTTTGCTTGTTTTTGAATTAATTCTTTTTCTAGATTCAAGGTTCTGAAATTCCAGATTTTTCATCTATTAGAATAATTTTAATTCTCGTATATATTCTATTGTGTCACTGAAAAAAGAAAAAAGAAAAGAGTACAAAATGGAATTTGAATATAATCAATCTTTAAAATAAGGCAAATAAGAACATAAAAGCCTCACTTCAAAATAATTAAGTGTGGAGAAAAATATAACCATACAAGTTTGATAAAAATGGCTTTAAATTCTGGTATCTCTCAATAGCCTGAAATCACGAATATAGTGAACATTTATCAGCTAAGGTGATTAGTCAAGGCACAATCCGATCCTTAACAAAAGTATATACATGAGTCTAAGAAGTTGAATTCCCATTTATACTCACTTATATTACTGTTAAGGTCATGTTTGTTTGGGTGGATATGAGTTTGAGATTAGATTAATAGTCCAATAAAATTATTAATCCGATATTTGGTTAAACAATTGAAGTACGAACTAACAATCCATCCGGATATGGTTTACATATGATGGACTATTCAATCCTAAAGAAGGGGGTGGAATATAAATTGGAGGATTAAGCTAAAGCCTAGACTATTAGTCCCTCCTTATAATCCTAATTCAATCCAAACATAAGATAGGAATAATCCTAAGGCTATTAATCATAGAAATATTAATCCAACCTAATCCAATCTATCGAAACAAACATAACCTAAGAGTTTTGTGCAACCACGTTGTTCTACCTAAGTGAAATTGTGCCCCTCGTCTAGCTATTTTCAAGAAATTGATGATAAAGTATTATACCACTAATTGTGGACTTCACCGCCAATGGCACAAGACCTAATGGGATCACTGCCCCAACACTTTGTTAGAAACGCGTTTTGAAGTTTTGGAAAAATAGAATTTTTTTTTAACTTAGGTCTAATTTTTAGGTAGGACTCATGCGTCAAAGTTGATGGGTCTAAATAGTAACGCGTTTCATGTCACGTTATGATTCACGTAGTATATTTAGTTACTCAAAACCATTATCGGGTAAATAGGAAATTGAAGCCAAAGTGAGCTCCATAGAAATAGAGTTTTGGTGAAAATTTCTTAAAGGTGTGGTTTAAGACTTGTTCCATATTGATTTGATCGGCATACTTTGAGTAGATTTATAAGGCTTGAGTTTAGAACTTGGGGTAGGTCCCAAGGGACACCCAAGTTTTGTAGAGAGGGAGGTTAGGGGCAAAGTGAGCTAGACCTATTGGATCCAAAATAAATACACGCGCATGCAACCGCCGCCGTCCATCTGGGCTTGGGTGTGGGTGTCTGGTTAGGTTGGGCTTGTCCAGCCCAATACCTATCTTTTTAGGCCAAAAATATTTGAATTTTATTTTTCTAAAATTAAATTCTAATTTTTTTGGAATTTGAATTTCGAAAATTAATTTCAAAATTGGCTCTGGTTTGATTTTCCCCACCGGGACAGATTCAAATATGTTCAATACAATTTTTATCTGTTCAAAATTTGAACCCAACAGATTTTTATCTGTTTATTCAAACCGAACAAGTAACATACCTATTGTGTGAGTGAATTTCCGATCACACTGCCAACTTAGTATTCAGCTGGAGAGCACTGGCAGAAAAGATGGCACATGTCTGACCTGCAACAGAAAGAGAAGATTCCGGCGGTGGTTCGTTCACCCGGGGGTACTCCGACGATTAAGTCAGTATATCTCTCAAAGATAATCAATAGTGCTAAACTCACTGTTCAGAATATAAATTGCGTACCATAGACCCTTCGGGGGTGCTTTTCTTTTATAGTTACCTCAATCCTAGTTCCCATAGAAGCCTAGCTTCAATGGACTTCTGTTCAGTGCTTTTCCTAGACTCTCCAATAGATAAAGATAAACTCCCTAAGAGTGTTATCCTTATCCATGCTAAAGTCCTTCCTCATTCTAGGACTCTCGTGCTTTATCCGTTTATCTTGGATTCCGATATCTTCGGAGATAACCTCGGCCTTGCTGAGATAACCTCGGCGTCATGACTCGGACACGTGGCACCTCGGCATCACCTTGGCCACGTGTTGGTACTCTAAAAATGTATCCCCACAACTGCCCCATAGGTATTACCTCAGCATTCTGAGGTGATGGAACCTACATCAGTACTTTCTATCATTATGTCGGCTTAACATATCTCAGCCGAGATCGTCATTCAGGCCGACATGCCTTTTACAGAATAAGAATTTCCAAGTGCTCTTTCATGCGTATGAGCTGTCGTGCATAATAACTCATCTGTTTCAGCCACGCGTCTTTCTCTCACTAGATCGTACTATACGCGCCTGTAAATCGAATCATTTTTGCGTGCGCCGTCTGACGCATATGTTCTTCTAGGCTCATTAATGACCTTTTTGCTGCCGTTTCTGTGTTTTAACAAAAAATCGATTCCTCTCTCTCCGTCTTCTCACTTTTGTATCCCCAAGCTCTCAATTCTCTCTAGCTTCTGAATATGCCATTGTTCCAGTCTTACAAGCTCTATAACCCTTTTCATTCGTCTCCTCTGGTGAGGTTTTCGCCGTTCCGCCACTTTTGCAATCGTTGTTTGACTTCGGCGATCCCCACACCGGTCTGACATTCTCTGATAAGCCACTGTTCCTTCTGCTTTCAGTTTTTTGTTGCTCTCCAAGGAGTTTTGCCTCATTTTTAATCGCTATTGCTGTTTTTCTCAAGTATTTGATTCATGAATCATGCATCTGAGCGTATTTACTTCGCGATTTTGTTTTTTGCCCATGTCTTGAATACTCGCACTGCTCATAACTTTTCTGCACTTTTGCCACTGTTCTTGACCTTATACCATTCGTACTTACAATGTTCTTGATAGTCCATCTCGATTCTTGATTCTGAAGCGCATTCTTGCTTTTCTGTTTTCCAGATTTCGCGCCTTCAATCTTCGTTTCCATAGATCTAGGTCTAGGATTTGCTTGTAGAACCCACGATTATTAGGAAAAACTGAGAATGATCCCCACAATTTCTTACATCACAAATTTTTAGGTTTTTGTCGAGGTCCCAATAACCCTTTTAAAACGCCTTCATTCTGAAACCCAGTTACTCCTGGTTAGGCCGATATCATGGGTATGTAGAAACATAGGGTAGATACCCCAAGCAAATTAGAGCACTTTAGGCAGGAGTTTGACATCCCTGCCAATGTTCATCTGAGGTTGGTTGGGGAGGATGACTTCATCATGCCCACAGTTGATTCCATGCCCCTTCCTGTTGTAGCTTTCATCGAGTGCGGACTTCGGTTCCCACTTAATATCCTTTTTTGTGAGATCATTCACTACTATAAGTTGAATCCAATGCAGCTTGCCATAAACTCCTACCGAGTTATTAATGGTATCATAGCCTTAGCCAAACAAGAAAACATTAGGGTTACCTTAGCTGATAGCCAGTATTGCTACACCATGTGTGGACTCAAAAAAGACACGGGCTACGTTTACTACCTCAAGCCGAGATCCACAGAATCGTAGCTGACCTCCCAGACTCCAACAAGGGAGCTGGAGACGATTACTTCATTACCTCGGGGAACTGGGAGTTCGCTCCAAATAAGGACCTTCATCTCTACCCTCTTCCTCGAACAGTTTTTGTAGAGGGCAATGGTAAGAGCCCTGTGTTCATACTAACTTGTTTTTAAAGTTTTTAATACTCTATTTGTTTCTAATGTCTGCTTTTCTTGCAGCTCTTCCTTAGCTGCCAAAGGGCTTCCGTCAGTCTTTCTTTCCCAGCAAAGGCCTGAGAAAACTGTTGGATTTGCCAATTCTTAAACGGAAGGCCCTCTTCTACTCAATTTCATTCATACGTACAAGTCAGCTCTTCCCGACATCCCCAAGAAAAAGAAGAAAAAGAGTTTGTCTCCTCTTTCCGCCATAACTTCTCAGGCTACCTCCACATCTCGGCAAGATCAAGGATTGACTTCTGATCCAACCAAGTAGCCGTCAACCACGGCTCCTTATCTGATCCCAATATCCCAGCGCCAACGTCGGGGATGAACTATTTTTCCTGTCGGGATGCGTCGCCAGAAAGCAGTTGCCAAAGATCTCTTGGCCAGCATCCCATCAACCATTGACGCTCCACCAGCGCAATCTCAGCCCCCTGCGAAGCCGAAAAGAATAAAGAAGGCTCAGCCAAAAGTAAAGGTGACTCAGGTTGACACTAAAGATACTTTGCCAATTTTGAAATTGGCTGAGAGTGAGAAGACCACGTCTGCTGCCGAAAAGAGGTCAGCCGAGGCCCAAGATCAAAGAAGCCGAGGTCATCCACTGCAACCACATCGGGTTCTCGAAAGTAGGATTCCCCCCTAGGCTCCCGATATCACATTGGAGGATAAGCCAATTAGGGCTAGCGACAGCGCCGATGACATTAATGTTGGCGTTGCCCTTAGTACTGCTCTGCTCCTTCCCTGCGATCTCGACCGAAACGCCGAGTTGAGTGAATATGAAAACTATGCTCTGATGCTCTAGCGTTCTGTCCAGGTGAGTGTCTTTATTTGGTCATTTTTCTTTCTTTATTGTACTTAGAAAATTTTCTAATAACTTTTGTCTAGGTCACTTTCAAGCCATCCAACATGCTCATTCCTTCTCAATTCAGTCCTTTGAGAACCGAAAAGAACTGGCCGATAAGAAGAGAGAAGTTGCTAGTCTGCAAAAGGCCAACAAAAGCTTACAATCAAAAATGAAGAAGTTGGAAGACCAAGTTGAGGCTGCCATCAAGGCCCAAAATGTTGCCGAAGAAAAAGCAGAATTTGCCGAGGCCATAAAGAAGGTTCTTGAGTCTGAAAAGAGGGAGGTTGAGGAGAAAACGGCCCAGGCCCAGAAAGAATTGCAAAAGGCCTTGGCCACGAAGGACGCCGAGCTCAAGGCAGCCGATGAGAAGGGCTATAATGAGGGGGTGGCTGATGTTACGGTGGACTATGAAAAGCAAGTAAAGCAGGCATGCAACAAGGGTTTCACTCTTGGTTGGATGTCTCTTCTAAAAAAGCTTGAAGTCCCCGAGGACTCGCCCCTTAGGAACGCCGACATCATTCATCTTCCATTCCTTCCAACTCCAAGTCAATCTGACGACAAATCTGAGTCTGAGGAGGAGACCTTGGTGAGGAAATCAAAGGAGGCTGCTAGGACCAAGTCCCCTTCTCTGAATGAGCAAGTCCTGGACTTGACTCAAGATGAGGAGGGTGGGGAGGTTCCCAAAGATGCTACAGCTAAAAAGGCATCAGCCGACGTGATTCTTGCCAACAAGAGCCTTGATGAAACCCTTCAAGAAATTGATGCCGAGCTTGCAGCGGAAAAGGCTGCCAAGGTGTCTTCCCAACAGTCGTCCGAACTTCAGACCCAACCATCTGTTGTTGCCGAAGAGTCTTGACTTTGATGTCTTTTTTCTTTTGTATTTTGTACTTTGTTTTTCTTTTTGAAGCAATGTAAACTCTTTGCATCACCGATGTGCTTTTAATTCAACTCTGTTGTTTTGAATGCTTGCATGTTTTCCTTGTATGCTTTCATACTTAGAATATCTTGTATATCTGTAACAACCCTCGTCACTATTTACCGAATAACCACTAATTACCGTTAAACTGAAACTGATTATGATTGATAAGTGAACTGAATAAACTACTGAACTGACTGACTGAAATTGAAACTGAATTGACTGAGTATACCTGTTTAATTGTAATTCTATCTGTTTGGTTATTTGATTATCTGTTCGTGTCTTTGTGTTTAAACTGCTAATTGAGGGCCTTATCGGCGGCCGAACTGGAAACCGATTAGTGTTTTACGATCATTGTGATTTATGTGATTTTATGGTGTAATTACCTGAAAACTGATTAGGTATGATTAAATTAGATTAAAATGAGTTAAATTGCATTGTTACACTTATTTACCATTTTGCCACACTTAGTGGCCCACTACATGAGCCATGTTTGAGACTTATTATATACTTAGGCAACTCTTCATCAGCTCATTTTCATTGTTTTGCCGACCAAGAGAGTTAGGGGGAGAGAAATTGAGTTCTAGATTGTGTTTTGCTTGGAACTTGAAGAAATTGTAGAAGAGATTGCATATTTGAGCTCCCTTCTTGGACTACAAGACCTAAGGTAGATCATTGACCTTAGTTATTGTGTATTTGGACTTTTTCTTGCATAATTCTTGGGTCTTTCGTGATTTAAGGCATGAATTGGTTCAATAGTGTTGAATTGAAGCTTAATCTTCACATGCATGGCATACTCTTGCTTTTTGAGGTTGTTCTTCATGGATTTTTGCATGCATGCCCATGTTAATGCTTAGGGCCATGTTTTCATCTTGTTTTTTGAACAATTGGCTCCTTAAAATTAAAGCTTTGAAATGGTTTAAATTCATGCATGTTTGCATGTTCTTCATATTCATGAAAATTAGTTTCAAATTGAGTCGTTTGAAACACCCTTGGGCATCGATTTTACAAATTGAGCTTTGAATCATGTTAAAGTATGAGTTTTGATTTGTTTTCTGAAAAATTGGCCCAAGAGGATCGAAATTTATGGTTTAAAACTTGGTTTTGAGCTTGAGGTTCAAATCTGGAATTTCCAGAATTTGGACTCACGCTCTAGCGGGGTGACTGGCGCTTGAGCGTGGAAATCGTGCTCCCAGCATTTTGTTCTGTTTTGAAGTCCGCAAGAGCGGAAGAATTGACGCTCGAGCGGGACATTGTGTCACATGCTCGAGCGCCCAATCGAGCGTGATTTTCACCTATCCAGTACTTTTGACTGTTTTGCAGAACGCCCGAGCGGGTAAGTCTACGCTCGAGCGGAAACCTTTGTCTGCATGTCCGCTCGAGCGGAGTAACCTACGCTCGAGCGTGACCCTTGTTTTCTGAAAAGTCTAAAAATACTTTTAAAGGTACATCTTTGCATCCCCATCCCATTCTAGGCATTCTTAGGCCTAGTTTAAGGCATCTTAGTGAGGATATAGATGTAGAAACACACCGAGGCAATTAGGGATTAAGTTATTACTTTCCTAACTGTGTAGCTTAGTGTGTGTTAATCTGTAACTGTGTAGGGTTGGCGACTGGGGACGCGCTCTAGCTTTAACTGTGTAGCCCAGAACTTCTGTGAAGTAACAACTGTGTAAAGAAGTGTTCAAAAATGATTATCTTCTGAACAATTGAACTGTACTGCTTTCTGAACTAGATACTGTTAATTGAATGAATGTATGTCCTATATTCTGAACTGTATTGTGGCATCCTTAGCGAACTACTGTTTAACTGTATGACTGTTACAGAGGATCTCTGTCGGTTCCCTCGTTGAACCCACTACTGTTTACTAACTGATTGGCCATCATTTACTGTTCGGTCTTTTAAGACCTACTATTTACTGTACTGTTATGCTAATGGATGTACCACATATGACTGAATGACTGATATACTGAATTAATGAACTATTTTCATTACTGTAAGGACATTCATTCTTAACCCCTTTACGCATTATGTTATTCATTGGGTTTTAGCTCACTGCTCATATATATATGTAAGTGTGCAGGCACCAGACCGCAGCTAGTAGCGTTGGGGTAAACTCCAGTTTTGTCGAGCTAGCCTATGTGCCTCAATACGAGGTTCCGAGCCTATCAAGCTACGGCTTAGGGGTGTTTTTGTTTTCCCGTCCGTCTCTATATCTGTTTTGCATAACTGTATAAGCTGTTATTGTACTGTTTAATAGGGATTAGGTCCCTGAACTGAATTATTGTATATATGTACATACTGTTTTGTCTGACTGTCTATATTCGAATGAGAAGTCTTTTTGCATACAGACTGTCACAGGTCATTGGACATTGTTTATTTACTGTATTGGCTTAAACCAGCCCCTGTACTCTGTATTACTGTATTACTGTTAAGCAGGCCTTCGGTAATCTTGGATTACTGGCCGGTTACGGTGCTAAACCTATAGAGGCGAGTTTGAGTCGTGACAATATCTTTAATATACACTTCAATCCTTGTGCAACCTTCTCGGGGTGACATACCTTGGTTATACAAACTAATGATTTACCTCGGCGAGTACCCAAGTGCCTTTCTTGGCATAACCTTGGTTTTACCTTGTAAAAATTTCAACAAGTTTTTAACTTCAGTCTAACTTCGACTTGTAAACTTGTTAAGCTTCAACAAGTGTTAATCATAATCTTTATTTAACTTCAACTTGTAACTTTTCTCAAGTTTCAACAAGTGTTAAACATAATCTCGGTTTAACTTCAACTTGTAAACTTTTTAAGTTTCAACAAGTGTTAAACATAATCTCGGTTTAACTTCAACTTGTAAACTTTTCTCAAGTTTCAACAAGTGTTAAACCCATTTTTCTTCTCTCTGCCCCCTGATGTGAACCTAGGTTTCACTTGGGTTCTCATTATACATGTATTCCAGAAACAACGTTATGTATCTTTATCAGTCACAAGTGTATAAACATATATAAACAAGCTAAAACTTTATTTATTTATTTACTTCGACAAAATGACAAAAAAATCTAATGATAGAAAAATTTCAAATTACAAGTGTTCCATGGCCTTGGCAACTCTTTGCCCTCATTATCTTCAAGCCGATATGCCCCATTGCCTAGTACCGAGATGATTCTGTAGGGTCCTTCCCAATTTGGGCCAAGCTTCCCCTCTTTGGGATCCTTCTTGTTGCCGACGACTTTCCTCAGCACGAGGTCACCGATTTGAAACTCTCTTGGGTTAACCCTTTTATTATAAGCTCTGGCAAGCTGCTGCTGGTATGCTGCCAGCTAAATTATAGCTCTCTCTCTTTTTTCTTCTAGTAGGTCCATAAGAGTACATCATTAGTCCCGTTTTCCACTCCCTGGGTTCTGATCCCAGGGATGCCGACTTCTAGTGGAATGACAACTTCTGTGCCATAAGCCATGGCAAAGGGGGATTCCCCCATTGATCTTCTCGGCGTAGTTCGATATGCCCAGAGCACACTTGGTAGTTCATCCACCCATTTTCCCTTTGCTGCTTGCAACCTCTTCTTAATCCCATCCAAGATGACTTTGTTTGATGCTTCTGCTTGTCATTGCTCTAAGGAAAACTCGGGGTGGAAAAGTAATTCTTGATTTTGAACTTTGTACAAAAGCTCTTGATTAGCTTACTGTCAAATTGTGTTCCATTGTCTGCAACTATTGCCCTTGGAATCCCAAATCTGGTGATGATGTTCCTCCATATGAAGTTCTTCACATCCACATCTCGAATCTTGGCTAGGGGCTCAACTTCTATCCACTTGGTGAAATAATTTGTTGCTACCAGCAGGTACTTCCTTTGTCCAGTTGCTTGGGGCAGTTGCCCAACGAGATCCATGCCCCATTAGGCAAACGGCCAAGGACTGGATACTGGGTTCAGGTCTGCTGCTGCTTGATGTATCAGAGGTGCAAACTTTTGGCACTTTTCACACTTTTTCACATAGGCTTCTGCATCTCTTTGCATGTAGGGCCACCAATACCCATGCGTAATGGCCCTGTGGGCAAGTGATCTGCCCCCAGCGTGGCTTCCACAAATTTCTTCATGTATTTCATATAAAAAAATTTCAACTTGTGAAGGATGTACACACCTCAAAAGGGGTCTAGTGAAGGATCTTCTGTAGAGATGTCCTTCCGCTGTCATACTGAATCTTACCGACTTCAATCTGATCTTGTGTGCCTCTTTGTGGTCATCTGGAAGCTTCCCTTCCTTTAAGAATGCTACAATTGCATCCATCCAGCTTGGTCCCATATCCACACATATTGCTTTGTGCTCTACGATCGGTGGTTCAATGCTCGGGCCCGACAGGTATTCGACCATTATCGTTCTTGCTTTTCCAGGTTGTATTGCACTAGCCAGATTGGCCAGTGCATCAGCGTGACTGTTATTATCTAGGCTAACCTGATGTAGTCGGTAATTCTGAAACAAGGCCACTAACCTGTTAACTTCCTTTGCGTAGGCTGACATCCTTTCATCTCGGGCTGCGAACTCGCCCGTTGTCTGGTTGACTATGAGTTGGGAGTCATAGAAGACTATCACTTCATCTGCTTCTACTGTTACCGCCAACTTTAGTCCTGCAATCAATGCTTCATACTCTGGTTCATTGTTTGAGGCCTTGAACCCCAATCAAATGGACTGTTCCAATATCTCTCCATCTGGAGATACTAGTACTACTCCTGCCCTCGCTCCTTGCCGGTTTGAGCTCCCATTGACAAACAATCGAAAGGAGTCGCTGATGTAAATGCCGCAAGGTCTGAGTTTTTTCTTTTTCCTTTGTTCTGTTGCATTTGGCTGAGCTTCTCCTTGCTTGCTTGGACATCGTTCACCTCGGCTCAACGGAGCTCGGTGTACGATGGATTCTGGTGTGAACTCGGCCACGAAGTCGGCCAAAACTTG